AAGTTGTGTTGCAACTGAAAAAAAGGTGATGTACATGTACATATTTAGGGATCAGATACTGACTCTTGTCTGTGGTTAAGCATTAGGCAGTCTGTGATTTCTTCAATGCACTTAGGGGCTAGCATGAATTTTTAACAATGAAAGGTCACAAGAAAATGTTTGTGTGTATGTTTGTGCTGTTGGGCATCCTGAAGTACTCTTAAGTTGCCCATATCTCTTTCTGTCCTGTATTCAGTTCTCCTCTTTTGTCCTTCACTCGTCCTGTTTGTTGGACCAGACCAAGAGCTTCTTTGTCTTGCCCTGCCCTAGCTGTACAAACTGCAGTAGACACGTAGCTGCCACGCTGTGCCCAGATCAATACTCCAGACAGCCACGCAGGACCCAGTGAGAGAAATGTTGAGAAAGGGAGAGGAAAAAGGCGATAGTGGCAACACGACTCAGGATTTAGCATTCAATACACTCTGTGACTTGGCACAGGCTTATTTGATTGGGCTCTAAATGTCAGGTTAGAAAATTACTCCCAATCAATACTTAACCTTGGACAACCTTCTGTTTATTTTATCCTCAGGTAAAATGCCAATCACTTTAGTATTTAGATAAACAAGATGATTATAGTGATTGATTGAAATTCTGATAAGGTTTGACAATAGGATAGCGTCACTGAATTAAATTTTTCTGTTTCTCCTCTTTCTTCCCCCCTCTGTTTCACCTCCATCTGCCTCACATCTATCTTCTCCCAGGATTTTGACCTATTCTTACCTGCTGTCCTTCAACGCCTGGCTACTGCTGGCCCCCATCATGCTGTGTTACGACTGGCAGGTGGGAAGTATTCCCCTGGTGGAGTCGCTGGGTGACGTGCGCAACGTAGCCACCGTGCTGCTCGCTGTGGTGATGGTCGCGCTCTGCCTGCACTGCGCCCTCTCACTGCAGGTAAGAGCAAATAAGTGACAGGTACCTGGAAAGTGCCTGAGACTGCATTTGCATGAACTCTGTTTCCTCCTGATGCTTCTCGGCCCTCATTATGTCATGCATCTGCATCATTTGAGTAGTTGTAAGTAAGAGCTGGTAACATCCCAGAGGTAACAAGGTTAAAATAAAATAAAATAAATGGAAATGCAGTAGATTTCTTCAGTCCAATTACCTACTTCCCACACTTAACTCCAGAGTATGAGGAGAAAGAAATTTAATTTAGTTATTCAGGGCTCCCAAAGGATGACCCCCAATGATTATCAGCGCTCTAACCCTTAGTCTGACACCATCAGGACAAACATAACAAACACTTTTTGTTCCATCAAAGAAAGAATGGATTTTCACGCATTGACACATTTTCATATAAAGATGGCAATGACCATCACAAACAGAAACTAACATTCATACACATTCATACACTAGCGCATAGTGGATGACCTGTCTACTTACTGAGCCAGAGCTGACCCAAGAGGGCGGTCTTTTGGTGCCCCCTGACCTCTCCTCTTGCAACATCATCAGGCCAAAATGTCCACCTGTGCATAAGAAATATCTAAAGCTAACCAGGCGGATGCCAGGAAATTTGATGAGCACATTCATGCTTAAAAATGATGAACCCTTATAAATGTAATGACTGCATGTCCTTTACTCTAGCAGCACCCTCAAGACAAACATTATAAACCGCTGTGCAGCATTCTGGTGTCTTATTAGCTTTCAGAGTCATGGGTGTATAAAGGCCTTGTTACACAGGTGTCTTTGAAAAATACCAGGTCTTCAAATCTTGGTAATATAGGGACTACTTGTTGAACCAGTAATTATACTTCCGTAACTGGTAAGCTAACCACTAATATGCAAGCCAGCCAAGGTAGCGCTAGCCAGTCATAATAGTTCTCTGAGCTTCTTTTCATCTTTTGTGTTGTTTACTCCCCCATGACATTTTGTTCTTAGGTTTGTACATAACTTTATTCAATAAATGGTTATTGAAGGTGGAAACACAGCAAGCTAACACGCTTGCTAACTGGCAGTTAGCAGCTGCTAGCTTGGCCGCTAATAGTTTATTCAAAAGATGTATTTGTACTATCAGCTCCTGTCTCATAATTGACTGCAAGCCATGTCTCTTTTGTTCAGTTAATGCTGTTAAATAAAAGGACGTGGATGGTGGAACACAGCTAATTAGCTACAACAGCTTCAAGGGCTGCCACCTAAAAGTCAATGACTGAAGTCAGACCCAGACTCAGACATGTTGTCAGTCGAATCACTACACGTTCTGTTTATCTGTGTCTTTGTACGCAGGAGCAACAGCATGGCAGGCTGTAAACAAACTGAGTCTTGTCTCAAAACGACAATAACTAGAAAACTAACTGTGATGGAAAAGCTGATGGAAAGATAGGGGTAATGGAAACGGAGTGTAAGAGACTCTACCTTGGGGCATTGGTGAACTATGAGCTGGATGCACAGTTTTTATTTCTATATGTGGAATTCTCACATTTTCACATCACAGATGATGAACAAAGGCATTAAAGCATGAAATTTATGTAGACTGATACAGGAGTTGAGTGTGGGGCAGCTGCTCTGCAGGTGCGCTGGACTGGGCAGTGGAGGGAATCATGTATTTCTCATATTGTTTTGCTAAGGGGTATTGAAGAAGCATCAGTAATTGTAGGATTTCTATACATTGATAAAAAACCATGGACCACAAGCACATGACAAATTAAAGGTCCAGTGTGTTAAGCAGTTGAGGAGGATTTATTGTCAGAAAATGGAATATAATATTCATTAGGATGTTTTCATTACTGTATAATCACCTGAAAATAGGAATAGTTTCGAAGCACTTTATATCTACAGGGTTGCCTTCCATGTCGCATCATGTTAACCACCATATTTCACAGTAGCCAAGAAGGCACAAACCAAATATTGGCTCTAGATAGGGAGGCGGCCTTTTTCGCGACCACTGTAATTTTTCCCTTGCACTTGCATTGGTCAGCAGTAGCAAAATTTTGCTGTGAAATGCTGGTGTGAGTCTGAAGCAACTACCCCAAACACACTCCAAAGTTTTTTTATGACCATGACACAATTTGACTTCTCAGTTCAAAGCCTTATTTGATAGTATAAACCACAATGCTTAGAGATTCATTTTATGACGTTTTACAGAGACAGTATTTGACTGTAAGGAGTTAACAGAGATAACAGTTAATCCTTTCCTCGTGTACCATAATGAGTCTTTTTGAGTGTTCCACGAAAAAGCAGCAATGTGTGCTCAAGGAGCTGTTAATCAGTGCACTTCAGATCCAATGGGACTCTTAATTAGTGATTCATTAAAGGCAAAGTGTGCTTTAAAAGGTCAGCCAGTCAGCCCTCTGTATGTTAAAAACACAGACATAACATCAGTTAAGACAAAATAAATGGTTTCAGCTCTAGAATTGTGCCATTTCCAACAAAATAAAATTTTAAAGGTTAAAAAAGATACATAGGTATTAGTGTACTTTGGTTATAGAAAGGCACAAATATTACCCCTGGGCTGTGTGCACACTTCAACCACACTCACACCATATGTTATATGTTTTCATCTAGTCACCAAAGTTTTTGGGCATTACACAAAAAAGCACAGATTATAATAAACCTTGTCCTTGTTACTTTATGTTTTTGGAGCCAGGCTCATCTCATGCAACTCCTGTTTACTGTGGAGACAGACCTTGCTCTGTGGAAAGTGTGTGTTTGTTTAGTGTGCATTTTCCATAGGTGTGTTGACTGTAGCGAAGACGTTTTTCACTCTCTCAATCAGCACCAGCTTTTTGTAATACCTCTTGTCCTCCCATTAGTGCTTTACAGTCTTATTTCTCATTCCCACAATAACTTCTGCTTATCTACGTCTTATTTTCAGATGATATTTGGTTCAAGGAGTCTTTATTGAACTGTGCTTCAGCAGAAGAAAGAAGAAAACATTCCCTCAAACAGAATGTTCTTTGGCAAAAATATTAGTTAGTCACACTAAATGCTGCCAGGTGTTGCTGGCTACTTTCTTCTTCTGGCTGCTCTGGAGAATGTATTCATATTTTGTAATTTTTTTTACGCAATG